GCTTTCGAGATCCAGAAGGGCGGGTACTGGGCACGCTCGCGTATGTGCTCGAGCAGCTCAGCGCCACCGCCGGCATACGTGACTGGACACGCGACGTATTCGTCCGGCACGGCGAGTGGATGTATGCCGGCCTTCGCAGGATCTTGGATCGACTTCGTATTCGCGTTCACGCCGAGGTCGTATCGGGGCTTTCGTATAGGGCCTTGATGAGCTTGGACGTATTCATCGCCATTCACGCGCCATCCATGGGGTATGAGCCGCAGGGTATGGCACTGTGGGTTGCCGCGGGCGAGCCCGGGGTATACCCGACACAGGACCAATGGTGGCACCAGGACGTATACCGACCGTGGGGCCAGTCGCCGCATGGGAATCTAATGGACTACCGACTGGACCTCGGTATCACGGTGCAGGTCCCGGGCGTCTTGGCGGTATTTCCTCTCGCAGCCACGGGCCCGGCATCCGCGAGCAGGCGTATGAGCATCGTGCTCGGACACATCCCTGATGTCGCCATTGCGACGCGTATGGCCTCCGTGCTGCCACCTGTCCAGCCTCAGGTATCGCCGCGGATTGGCGCCATCACGGACGGGACCCAGGAGGAGGAGCCTTCGCGTCTGTAGGCTGTATGCCGTTGGCCGCTCATGACAGTATGAGTGCCGTTCCGTATGCCGCATGCCCTTGGCCGCTCATGACAGTATGAGTGCGCTCTGGCAGTGTGCTCCCTGTTCCCCCGCCGGCACTGTTCGCCGAGGCTGGGCGATAGAAAAAGAAAGTATGGCAGCATCGCGACAACCATCGGGGCAACCATCGGGACAACCATCCGAACAACCGTCGGGACAACCAGCGGGACAATCATGTGGACAACGATCGGGACAACCATAACCATCAGGACAACTATCGGGACAACCATGGGGACGACGATCGGGACAACCACGATCATCAGGACAACCATCGGGACAACCATCGAGACAACCATCGGGAAAACCATATCGTCTCTCTCTCTCTGTGTATTCCCACATCCCTCAGGAATTTGCCCTAAAGATGTGATCAACCATCTTGTGCGTACGTACCATGATCATGTGTACCATGTACCCTACGGGTCATATGCAACTGATGCCTTTGCGTATTCCCACTTCGGCACAGGAATTTGATTAAAAAATGTGACGAACTCCTCTCTCTCTGTCTCTCTCTCTTTGTCTCTCTCTCTCTCCCGCTCTCTTCCTCTGTCTCGCCTTCTCTCTCTCAGTGTCTGTACCATGTCTAGCACTGGTAACAAAGGTATTTGTGTATCCCCACATCCGCCCAGGAATTCCACAAATGTGACCAACTATCTTGCGAGTACGTATCATCTCATGTGTGTCGTGCACACTATCAAATGTAACAGAGTTGTGTATTCCCATCATCCCAGGAACTTGACCCAAAAATGTGACCAACTCCGCTCTCTCTGTCTCTCTCTCTGTCTGCTCTCTGTCTCTCTCTCTGTCTCTCTGTATTATGTATTGTATGGCACAATTGCACCATGCTGGGCACATGCGCGCCCCGAATAAGTGACCAAGTTCTGTGGGTGTGTACCCCACGCCAGTGTAGTAGCCACGGTCGTCCGCACGCCACGAAGTGAAGTGTCCCAACGTCATAGGGCGGGAAGCTGGGTTTGGGTGGTCGCGAAGAGTCGTTTGGATATTTGGTAGAGCTTGTAATGCCCCCCCACGAAGTGGGGGTATTGCCTGGTGTCGTATGAAAACCCTGGCACTGGGGAGAACACCGCGCGTTCGGGTAAAATGATTGTTGTTGTTGTTGTTGTTGTTGTTGCTGTTGCTGTTGCTGTTGCTGTTGCTCTTGTTGCTGCTGCTGTTGGTGTTGTTGTTGCTGTTACTGCTGCTGTCGTTGTTGTTGTGCTTGTGGTTGTCGTTGGCGATGCTGTTGTTGTTGTAGTTGTTGTTGCTGCTGTTGTTGATGCTGCTGCTGATGATGATGCTGATCATGCTGCTGGTGATGCTGCCGCTGCTGCTGCTGCTGATGATGCTGATGATGATGATGGTGAGGAGGAGGAGGAAGGGGAGGAGAAGGAGGAGGAGGAGAAGAGGAGGAGGAGGAGGAGGAGGAGAAGGAAAAGGAGGAAGATGATTTGAGGGATTGATTGAAGGAGGGATAGTGAGGATTGAACGCGGGAGTGCAAGGACTCCCAAACCCTGCTGCTGCGGCTTCTTCTCCTCCCCTCCGACTCCTGCTGCCTCTGTCCCCTCCTCCTTCTCCTCCTCCTCCTCCTCCTCCTCCTCCTCCTCATCATCATCATCATCATCATCATCATCCTTTTCCTCCTCCTCCTTCTCGTCCTCCTGGCGCGCGGAGCCGCGGATCAAGCTACAGCGACAGCTCGCTTGCGCACTGAACAGCCGCTTGTACCCAGATGACTTGGGACCACGCTCCAACGGCGGGCCACCGAGTGGATCGCTGTAGGTTTGTGCCCCTGCCCTCCTCGTCCCCTTCGAGACCTCTGGACGCTACTGCTTGCGTCGCCGTCAGCATGGTGTCTCGTGGTGCTGCAATCGTGATGCGGGCTCCTGGGCTACTGGTCACATGCTTCGTGTGGTGGACGGGGGATGTCTATTTAGTTGCGTGCGCTGTGGGGTGATTTAGATCTTGACGGCCGCAGCCATTATTTAAGATGTGATCCGTTCTGACGCGTGATGGCTTGAACTTTCATCGTCAAGATCCCATCGGACCCCCTCGAATATATGGGGTCTGTCGGAGCCTTCGGAGCAAGCGATGAAACGCATAGTTGTAGCGTATCGACCCAGAGGATCGGGAGACGGATGCCCAGATGCATCCCTGAATCCAGACTAGTGGAGATGGCCGAGGTCACCCGGTGCGCTGGTGACATTCCCTTGAGGAGGTTTGCTCTCGCCAGGGGCATCCGAGCAGCGCCGAGAAGGCCAGCCGAACCTTGGCGTGAAAGCATGCCCATCCGCCGATCCTTGGTGCGGGAAGCGGTCGGTGTATGGCGTCCCCACCGACCCGCACGTTCGGCCGAAGGATGGGATTATCAGCCATTCCTCCACAGCTCCTCTCCTCTCGTCCTCGTCCCTCTCCTGCCCCCCGTGCCGTTCCATTGCGCTCCGAGAGGGGCAGACATTTACTTTGGCAATTCTCTTTCGTCTGAGTGTACAGTGCTCTATCGCCCGTGATGAAGGGTCAGGGTCCCCGACATGAACACCCCTGTAACGTTGGCTTCGCCTCTCCTTCCTTGTCCTCCTTCTTCCCCTTTGCCTCCTGCTACTGTGGGCACTGTCCCCCTCCTCATTCTCCTCCCCCTGCTTCCTTCCCTCTCGTTCTCCTTCTGCTGCTGCTTCTCCTCTCCCATTTCCCTCCGCTGCTGCTACTTCTCCTCTTGCGCTCTCTCTTCTCCTCTCCTCGTCCTCCTCCGTTATTGCTCCCTATCCTGCTCATGCCGCCTCTGCTCACCCTTCTCCTCCTCCTCGTCCTCCTCCTCCTCCTCCTCCTCGTCCTCGTCAACACCGTCACCATCATCATCATCGTCCTCCTTCTCCTCATCATCATCGTCATCATCATCATCACTATCATCATCATCATCATCATCATCATCATCAGCATCATCATCATCATCGTCAACATCATCAACACCACCATCACAATCATAGTCACTATCGGCATCGCCATCGCCGTCGTCACCATCACCATCATCATCAACATCGTTCACATAATCAGCATCAGTACCATCGACATCTTCGTCATCGCCATCATCAGTTACTACCATCATCATCACATCACCATCACCACCATCATCTTCATCATCCTCATCACCATCAGCATCATCATAGGCTGTATCGCTATTATCGTCAATACCATCATCGTCGTCGTCATCGCCATTACCATCACCGCCATCAGCAACTGTTTGTTGCATTAGTACCACTCTCATCCATTACCAGCATTAACATCTCCACCGCCATCACCATCACCATCACCACCACCACCATCACCATCACCATCACCATCACCATCACCATCACCATCACCATCACCATCACCATCACCATAACCATCACCATCACCATCACCATCACCATCATCATTACCATCACCGCAATCATCACCATCATCATCGCCACCACCACCATCGTCATCACCGCCGTCGTCTTCATCATCAACATCACTACCACCATTCATCATCAGCATCATCATCATCAACATCATCAACACCGCCATCATCATCACCACCAGCACCGTCATCATCACCATCACCAGCAACCTCGTTATCATCATCATCATCACCATCATCAGCATCATCATCATCATCATCAGCATGATCACCATCACCATCATCATCATCAGCAGCAGCAGCATCATCATCATCATCATCATCATCATCATCATCGTCATCATCATCATCATCATCATCATCATACGTATCGTCAAACACCATCATTATCAGCATCATTGTCACCACGATCATTATTATCACCATTCCCCTCTCGTCTTGGGCATCATGCATGCGATGACTCGAGGCTCGTGCCTGCTCTTTTGGCGTATGGTTCACAAGTTTGTGGACGGGCCTCGGGTGGGACAGTGTCATTCCCTGTCCCCGCTTCTCATCCCCCCGCTTCTCCTCTCCCCTGTCCTTGCCTCTTGCTGCAGCCCTAGTCTCCCTCTCCTCTTGATCCTGATCCTCATTCTCTCCCATTCCCTTCGCCTCCTCCTCCTCCTCCTCGTCCTCCTCTCTCGGCCCCCCTCCTCTCCCCATTGTCTTCCTCTCGGGCCTCCTCCTCCTCCTGCTCCTCTTCCTCATCTTCGTCGCCGTCCTCCTCTTCCTTCCCCCTCCTTCTCATCCTCCTTCTCCTCCTCCTCTTCCTCCTCCTCCTAGTTCCTCCTCGTCCTCCTCCTCCTTGTCCTCCTCCGCCTTCTCCTCCTCCTCGTCGTCCTCCTCCTTCTTCCGCCCCTTACCCTTATACCTTCCCCCCCTCCTGCCCTCCGCCGCCGCCGGCCAGCGTGATCTGGCTGCCCAACCCGGCCCAGCTGCAGAACCCGCACTCTCCGAGGACGCCCCCCCCCGTTTTATTGCGTCCTCTCCCTCTCTTTGTGAACCTGTCTGTCTGTCAGCCTGTCCGTTCGTCCGTCCGTCCGTCCGTCCGTCCGTCCGTCCGTCCGTCTGTCTGTCTGTCTGTCTGGTGAATATGCCTGGCTGCCTGCCTGCCTGCCTGCCTGCCTGCCGGTCTGTCTGTCTGTCTGTCTGTCTGTCTGTCTGTCTGTCTGTCTGTCTGTCTGTCTGTTTGTCTGTCAGTTTGTTTTTCTGTCTCTCTCTGCCCCTCCCTGACTCTCTCTCTCTCTCTCTCTCGGACGGGCCACCGCCACAGAGCGAAGCAGGAGGAGGAGGAGCAGGAGGAGGAGGAGCAGGAGGAGGAGGAGGAGGAGGAGGAGGAGGAGGGAGAAGAAGGAGGAGGAGGAGGGGGAGGAGGAGGGGAAGGAGGAGGAGGAGGAGGAGGAGGAGGAGGAGGAGAGGAGGAGGAACAGGAGGAGGAGGAGGAGGAGGAGGAGGAGGAGGAGAGGGGAGGAGGGAGGAGGAGGCGGAAAGAAGAGGAGGAGGAGAGGCGGGGGGCATGGGGAGAAGGGGGAGGAAGGGGAAAAGGATGAGGAGGAGGAGAGGAGGAGGAGAGGAAGAGAAGGAGGAGGAGTAGGAGGAGGAGGAGGAGGCGGAGGATGGGGGCAGGAGGAGGAGGAGAAGGAGGTGAGGAGGAGGCG